CCTCCCCGGGCTCGGCTGTCACTGCCCACCTCCTTCCCTCCGCCCTCCCGTCCCTCCTTCGCCGGGCGCCCGCGCAGGTCTTCCCTCTGCCTTGCGAGCACCAGCTCCCGGGTATAACCTTCGCATCTTGGCGCTGTGCTTTCGCTCAGCCCATCTTTGTTGTAGCTTGCCTAGGCAACTCCTTGGCTTTGCTTTTCGGCGGTCAGTGAGCCTGTCAGTAACGACTACGTCGTCTCTGCAGTAGCTTTTTCTGCTGGTTTCTTTCCTTTTGCTGGAGTAATACTTCTTGTTTTCCTCCTTCCGAGTGGCTTTGGCACGTCTCTGATGTAAGGTTTGGGGCTGTTAAGTTAAAGTTAACGTTCAGGCCTGCTGATTCTTCCGATGTCTTAAATGCACCTACTCTCTCTGATTTGGCATGATCTTTGGCTGAGCATGTCATCATGGCCTGAAATTTTCCTGAGAGATACTCTTTTCCACAAGAGCTTCAGCAGCGGTCCCAAATGGTTTTGACACATCTTTTGTTTTACTGATATGAAAATGGGTGTGTCTTTACTTTCTATGTGGGTCTTGGAGAACTGTTTTGTTGGTATAGTTATTCTTGTCCTAAATGGAAAATCTGTATCTGAAAGGTGATAAAGAAATGCAAAGGAAGGATCAGGATTGAGAAAGAAAAGGATACTCAATGAGTAATAACAATGTGTGAGTTACCTGTGGTGTCCGTGGTTTGCCATAACGGCATACTTCTCATGGAGTTGGTGGTTTCAAAGTTGCAGGTATTAAAACTGCTTCTGCATTTTCCTCTGACATGAAAAGAGTTTGTATGTGAATCTTCTTCTGCAAAACTGCAGCTAAACCAAGAAAGCAATGCTTTGGGGGGTCTAGTTGTGAAAGGAACAAAGATTCATCAAGGGGCTTTGCTTACAGAGATGGACTGCTGGAGCTGCCTATACGTAGCTATCTGCAAGAATCAGCTCAGAGGAAGAATGTTTCTTGTTACGCCTAATCTGCATTTTTTTTAGTTTAAAAGACTTCAATCTGTGGTATTGCAAACAATAATTTCATTTTTCCAAAGCTTTAGCAGGTATTCTCTCTGATGGCTGTGAGTGCTTTGATGTCATAATTGAAAATACATCTGCTTGTGGATAGCAGAGGAACGCAGGGTTAGAGATCAGTAGTCCTAGATGAATACTGTGTCAGTGTGTGATGATAGTATCTCCAAAAGTAATTCATTGTAGTTATGAGTTTACATAAAAGTGGTTTCAAGATTATTAATCTAGGTGTGGAGTATGGTGGAGTGCACCGAAATAGAATGAAGTCTGATTTTTGTTAAACTGCTCTTGCTTTTGCATTTGGAAGGTTATTTTTTTTCCTTTAATGGTTCTCGACTCAGAATTGCAAAGACAGCTAGCACAGAACTCATGAAATACTTACTTTATTGTTCCACATTTCTTGCGTGATGAAATTTGGTGGCTGTGTTCCACTTGCATGCAGTATTCATAACTGCAAAGAATTGTCGAATCAAGTATAAGAACCCTATGTGCTTGAAAACTTCTTCTTTTTAATCAAAACCTGAAGTTAATAGTCCAAACCATTCATGTTTATTTAATATATAAAGAAGACTGAAGGCTGAAGGGTTGTTCACGTGGAATCAAGGTCGGTGAGGTTACTGCCCACTCAGCTGGCCCTTGCCCATGAAGCACACAGAGGCAGTGGTATCTGTGCCAGTTTGGCTGAGGGACATGCATGCCACTGGAGAATTCCAGGTGCAGGGTTTTACCTGCTGCTGCTGCCAGAGACCCCTCGTTGTCTGGTAGTGGTGCTCTCATTAGCATTGCTGCCGTGTACACTAAGCCTTTCCTCTTTTTCAAATCCCCACGACTTTTCGTGTAACCGAAGACTGTTCTTGAACTGGTTTGTGCAGTGGGTGAGGAGATCATGCAAACAAATGGTTGATCAGCATGCAGAGATCTGCCACCTAATCAGTTCTTCGGACACCAGCACAGGTTAATTTTATTACTGGGAAAGAATTTTTTTACCTTTGGTTCAAAAATTGAAGTAACTTTAAGGCTAAGCAGAACTAGAACATTTAGTTTTGAATATAATTTACGATATTTATATCGTGCTTTATACTGATAATAAAATGGAGGAAAAAATAAGATCGCAGTGTGAAACTGCTTTTAAGTAAACATGTGTATTTGGATGGGAGTCCTTTCTGTCTAAAGTGAGTTTAAGTGATATTTCCATGAAACATTTCCCCGGGCTGGTGGTTTTAAGGTTTGTTATCAAGGCTGTGAAGTATGCATTTCTCCAGTAGATGGAGTGTGATCTACGTGGAGTCACAGAGGTTAACTGCCTTCCGGCCCCTCTGACTTGACTTAAAAGGCTCAGCACTGATACGTACGGTGGTTATTTCTTGCTGGAATATTTCTGACTTCAAAGATCTGTATCAAATTCCTGTAACACTGAGGCAACGCTTTTATTCAAGGCAGGAGCCCACTTAAAATCTTAGGTTGATGCAAAATTATTTGGCACCATTGTTGTGTTTGTTGAGTTATGGAGGTGGAACATGAATGTATTTTGCAGACTAGCAAACCACTTTATCTTATAAGCTCATCCGTGAAAAACAAAGATTCATAAATGTGTTACAAAAACATGACATTAAACAAGAGCTTTTGTTTCAAATTTGGGTCTTGACTGGGAATGAATTATCTGTCCATATCCCAGTATGTGGCCTTGAAATTAAGACTGTATTCCTTGGACATGATGAATATAGGCCGCTGCTGAAGGCAGATCTTACATTCATGCGAAGTCCATATGTTGTTTTAGAACAATATGTACAGATTGGAAATAAGCTATAAGTAGTTAGAAAAAATAAGTTATTCAGAGGTATTTTAAACTCTATCTACACCCTTCTGTTGTACTCTGCAGTGAGGAAGATGATGACCTTCAGTATTTGGATCATGACTATGAAGTACCACAGCAAAAAGGTTTGAAGAAGATATGTAACAGGGTGAAATGGACACGTGATGAGGTAATACCTTTTTATTTTTTCTTTTCTTCCTTTAGTTTTCTTTCTACATGATATTGGTAGCACATGAAATATGTTACTATTTAGTATCATGTTGGGATAGCATGTAACATTTATTGGTTGAGATTATGTCTTAACAGGATGAAAGGCTAAAGAAGCTGGTGGAACAAAATGGTACAGATGATTGGGCTTTCATTGCTAGTCACCTACAAGTAAGTTGAATCTCTGTTTCAGTTAAGTTCTCTTTTTAATATTTGTTTACTTTGTTCACGTGTCTAGTTTGAAAATGAAGTGAAATAGAAATCAGAAACACATAATAGTAAAAAAATACATTTTAAGGTATGCTTGTGAATTGGACTTGAGATCTAGCTCAGGCTTTGGAGAACTTTATCAGCTCAGGCTGGGCTCAAGTGATCAAAAATAATTGGTGTCTTCCATCCACACTTGCTATTTGATTTCCTTCTGGAATATATTCCTCTTTCCTGTTGGCTGCGTTGCTTGTGGTTACATCCACAGTTCACAAGTTGCTTCTGAAGCAGTTAGGAGTGTGGGTTGCATCTTAAAGATGACTTGGAAGGAGCAGGATCAATTTCTTAAACACCTTAGGAAAGGGTGGTGTGGGTTTTTTGTTTCGTTTTGTGTGGGCTTTTTGTGTGTGTGGTGGGTTTTTTTGGTGGTTTTTTTTTCCTTGTTTTTTGTTTGTTTTGGTTTTGGTGTTTTGTTTTGTTTTGCCTTTTTTACAGTGATGTCTTCTCTAGAATATGTATATCTTTCCACCTGATGATAACTTCAGTTCCTGCGAATGGAGCCTTAGTGGGTTCCTTAGAGATTTTGTACTGACACTTAAGATTTCTTGTTCTGTTCCAGTGGTCAGGTGGAATGAGTAAAAGAGCTGTTGGTGCAAACATGAAATGACTCCTCAACTGTATGAGCCGCACTGGTAGAAAACACAGCTAGAATTGATGATGTTTGTTTCTCTGATTAAATGCTATAAAATACCTACTGTAAAAACATGGCTAGAATCTAAGGCTGAAATCACTACCTAGAAGTGGCATTGTATATATTCAAATATTAGATAAAGAAATTACACCTCCACCTTTGTGGTTCTTATAATACTGACCAGAATGATATGGTTGTATGAAATTCCTGTGTAAGCAGGTAAAAATAGAATTGTAACTGCTGGACAACTGTAACTTTGCATTGTTCTCAATGTATTTGTGCAACTGTAGTACTTCTGATATTTATTTTTTTTCCCCCCAGGTGGTAAAGCATAGATATCAGGGAATGAACTCAAAGCTTCTAAATTTAAGGAGTACATATGCAAATCACTGTTCCTTACATTATCCACTTCCAGAAAGCAGTGAAATAAGTGAATGGCAGAGGACGAAGAGATAATATTAAAAGGCTTTATATAAAACTGATGAAAAGTACAATGTTTGGTGATACTGATCTGCAGGTGTAGTATGCACTTGTAGTTAGCAGATCTAACAGTTTAGTAAAAAGTTCTCCAGTTGAAAAAAAAAATGCTTTTGGAGACAGAAAGCGATTGTTCAGCTGGGCCCAAGTGTGGTTGAAAAAAAGGCTCTCTCGCTATCATGGGAAATATGCATGGAGGATCAGGTTGCTCACTGCAGAATTGGTGATGCTGGAAGGAACCTCCCAAGATCATGCAGTCTGCGCCTCCTGCTCAGGGAAGGTCAGCTAGAACAGGCTGCTCAGGACAGTGTCCAGCTGGACTTTGAATGTCTCCATGGATTAAGACTCCACAGCCCCTCTGGGCAACCTATTGCAGTGTTCACATTACAAAGCCAGATAGTGGAGGATAGCATAATTAGCACTTACCTTGTTAATGCTGGTCTTTTGCTAGGAAACCCAATCTTGAGTAACTAGTATGTAAAGGCTATTTCACTGTCGAACCCTATTTCACTGTTGGGCTGGGCACAAGTAAACCTTCCCTCTATTCTATCCCCAAAAGTGAAGATGGCTTAAGTGTGGCCCTTGAGAGGGAATGCAGGTTGCCTTCTCTTTGAGTTTATTACGGCTAAGGCAGGCCTGAAATCATAGAATCCCATAATTTGTTTTGCTTTTCTCCCCCAAAGACGTCATGATTTCAGAAGTGTCTGGAAGGTATAAACACTAAAAGGCCACATTTTCAAAACTTCTTTCATCGAAAATGGGAACGGCTATCATATACAGAGTCTGTCTTTTACAGCTTGTCTCCACTAGGAAATTATGATGTATTGTAGTAAACTCTAGTGTGCTTTTAATCATGCGGTGTCTACTTGTGATTAACATGAAGGTACTGTGATCAATGACATTGACGTTTTAGCTGTAACAGTGTTTTGGGTGGGGTTTTTTTCTGGTCTTGCAGACTGCTTCTTGTTTAACTTCATCTTAGCCTGGTAAGGCCTTGACTTAGTAGGCAAGTCCAGCGAAACCTTGAAATTGATATTTGCTATCCAGCAGCTTGCACTGAAGAGAGTAAATCGTCATGTCACAATGTTATAAAAGGTGTAATAGTATGCTGTGCTGGGGCAGGCTCTTACCTGCATATTTCTAAGGATGGACCAACCCAGAGAGTCACAAACTTTTCTAGAAACAGAGGCTAAGTGAAACCTTACTTCTCTTTCATAAGTGGGAACATATTTCAAAAGATCCTGAGTGAAGCTACAGAAAAGCACCATCTGTCCTGAGCAGAAAAAGCAATGTCGTTTAATTAGTATGTGTTAGGTAAACTCAATATAAATCTGTTTTCCTTAACATTCTAGCAAAATGCTGAAAGTATATTCATTTGAGACTTTAAAAAAGTTTATTCTTTTGTTCGAATTTCCTTTAAAAATTTCTTTCCTTGTATAAGTTATAGATAATGTCAAAAGCATGTCAATCACAAAGTTCAGCGGAGGTGTGGAGTAATGAGGATAAAAATTCTAAGTTTTTCTTTAAAGAAGAGTAAGTTCTCAATTTGCTTATCAAGTAAGAACACAGAAGTAATTAGATTAGAGCTTTGTGCAAGGCTGTTGTTTCTGGAGAAGAGCATTTATAAGCACATAGAAGAGGAAATAATAAGGGAGAATTTATCTATTAGAATAAAGATCTGAATAAGTCTTTCAATTTGAAATAAGATAATAATTCTGGATAGCTAATATTTGCATTTTTATGTATGCAAGTGTTTAACAACTGCACTGGTCTTCTAAAATTATTTCAGAATCGGTCAGATTTTCAGTGCCAGCATCGATGGCAGAGGGTACTAAACCCAGAATTGATTAAAGGTCCATGGACTAAAGAAGAAGATCAGAGGGTAATGAAAATTAATTGTTACTGTACTCCTTTACTGTAATAAAATTGGCATATGACTGCTAAGAATGTGTACGTTTTCTTAGGTTTCATCCCCACAAAGATGATGTCTGATGCACCTTGTGACATAGATAATTACATTAGATACATATATATATACACATAATATAATTACATTATATTATGCTGTGTGAGGAGGAAGAAGAAAAATGCAGCTGCTCTTAAGTAGATGGAATGTCTGGTCTGCTTAAGCATTTGATTTCCGTCTGTGCAGATTGCTAGCTTATCCAATAGAGGAGATATCTTTACTGCACTAAAGATCAAAGGTCTCACATCTTTTGTTCCTCAAACTCACCAAACTTAAAGGGGTTGGGCATAAGGGCAATTATTTCATACTCTACTCTTAAAGAAGCTAGCAATGGTGGTTTAGACTCCTTTTCCCCACCTCTATTAATCCACATTTTTTGCCTGCAAAACCTGGACTGTCCTGTTGGGAGACGCACATGTAGCTTTCACATACCGTATTTCAAATTGACTGCTTAATTCCTACCTTTTAAAACTGTTTTAAGATGCCCAAAATTAGTATTTGTCAACTTATGAATATAGTCTTCTTAATATATTTTTACAGTGAATTTGGAGTTACTAAGTAATTTTTTTATATCTTTAAAAGTAATTTTTAAAACCCTGTGTCACTGTCTACCTCCTTAGGCCTCGTATCTTATCAAGTCGACTGTTATAAATCCTAAATCTAAAATGTGAGTTTATAATTTTTCCCAGTCTTTAATTGGGAAAATCAGCTTTTGGAATTGTAACATGCTTTCATCTGTGTTCCAGGTTATTGAATTAGTTCAGAAGTATGGTCCAAAGCGCTGGTCTCTAATTGCAAAACACCTGAAAGGAAGAATAGGCAAGCAGTGCAGAGAGAGATGGCATAACCATCTCAATCCTGAGGTAAAAAAGTCATCATGGACAGAAGAAGAGGACAGAATAATCTATGAAGCTCACAAGCGTTTGGGAAACCGATGGGCTGAAATAGCAAAACTTCTTCCCGGAAGGTGCTTTTCAACTCTGTTTGTGTTAAATACTGGAATATGGAAAGTTGTCATCACAGTACTCTTTGCAATGTCATTTCTTAGTCAGAGAGCATTGCTGAAATTTGTGTCACAACATCTTTATCTTGATAGATACTGAATTTTTTAAAAATCTTTTGCATTTGGTTATGTACTCTTAATAAGCCACCAAATCAATAAAAAGGCCTCTAACACTTTGCACGTTCCTTCAAAAATCCTCTTGATCACAGAAAAAACTGTAGTAGAGCTGAAGAGAGTAACTGCAAGTAATAGTGGAAGAATGACTTAACATCCTATGACTTGATGTCAAAGTGCTTCACTGGTGCATGGGGGTGACTTTCTTTTTGATTTAAGATCAGAAATTATTTAAAAAACATTTATTTATTTTTTGTGGAACATTTGTTGTTAAACAGGACACTTGAAAAAGAAAATCTTTGTAACTTTCAAAAGTCTAGGCTTAGGAGCCATGCATTGCAAAGCTAGCTGGTTACCATCAAGTCTTTTAATTATAAGCATTGTTCTCTTTATCATTGTTTCAGGTGTGACTGCCAACTTGTATGCTTGTGGAAAACAAAATTTTAGTGTTTCAATGGAATAAATATTTTACCTTGTACTGTTAATTAAAAGTGAATGTTCAGGTGTCCCTCTCTGAATTCAGTCTGTATGTTCAGGAGGTGACTGTAGTGGTGCCTAAGGAATGTCTGAACTTGTTTATGTTGGGAGAATGAGTATTTAGAGATGTGTGTTTAAAAATGAGACATTTTCATTAAATACACATACACGAATCACAGGAAATCCTTTGGAGGAATAGGAAGGGAATGGATTGCATCTTAACAGAATTTCAGAGAGGAAAGATGAGTTTCTAAGGACAGAGGCATTACTAGCTTATTTGTTGAAAATAAATCCAAGATGAGACTCAGTTAAAGATTGGATCCTAGACCCAGAAGATTAATAAAGAGTCCAACATTAGACTCTTAGGGTCTAACATTAGGGTGAAAAAGGGGAATTCTACTTGGAGTTGAGCTTGAATGAAGAATGGGTCTTAAAGCAATTTTTATTTCTGTGTACTTCTTTCCAAGGCTAGTATTTTAGACTGTAATGCATTTGTACTCTACTTAATGCTTCTTTAGTGTCAAAGGTGATTTCAGCCTGCTTGTCAAACTGCAGCCATTTACTTTCCAAGGGGAATGACAATGGGCACTGGTCTTCTGCCATGCCTGCTGTTCTCCATACCCACTTAAGGGCACCAACAGGTAGTGAGATGTTCTACAAAGCTGCACATCAAAGATAAGGCAGGCCGTAATTTTTTTTAATTTATTTTTATTTATTTATTTATTTATTTAT